CGCGGGGGCGCGGGGGGGGGGGGGGGGCGGGGGGGGGGGGGGGGGGGGGGGGGTACGGGTAGGAGACTAGCAGGCGCCTCTCCTGCAAGATGGAGGGGGGCTGTGGCCGGGAGGACGCATCCTCCGCAGGAGGTCTTGGCTCCCCTGCCCTGCTGCCCACCCCACCCGCCGCCCTCCTGGGTTAGGAGTCTTTCTCCCAGGCCCATATTTGCACAAATGCCTGCCTCACTTCTCACTCCAGAGCCCCAGCCAAGAGGCACTATTTTAAGCTCCCTGGACGGGAACACTGTTGGTGGGAACAGACCCAGCCAGCAAGCTCCCAGTTCTCAAAAAAGGGAAAGGCCTGGGTGAACGGGCGGCCCCTGGGATGGGCAGAGGGGCCACCACGTCCACATGACCCTCTGCCCAGGCCAGGTGCCCGTGCCTTCTCCCCCACTGGGGGGCAGTCAGAGAAGTGGGAGTCGGGGTAGGACTCTAAGAGGTGGACTTGTACTCTGGGCCTGGATGGCGAAGGCGTCCCTTCTGCCCAGCAGCCAGCCTCGAAAACTCGAAGCTTGTGTTTCTGAATTACCGATCACCTCCACCCTGTACCTAGTCTCTTGTGAGCGCTCACCATGCCTAGAACCTCAGAGCTGGGGGGTGTCTTGTGTAGCCCCTCCCAGCACAGGCCCCCCTCTTAAAGCATCTTGGTTCGACACCTTCATTAGAAGGGAGATGGATCAGTTCTCTCTGAGGACGCATATCCTACTTTTTAAAGCTCTAGTTGTTGAAAATAATAATTACAATGATAAAAGCTTTCTCTTCAGTTATGCTGAAGGTCCCTCCTGTGAGGCAATATGGTGCAGCGAGAGACTGCAGGCTTTGGAAATGGTGGCTGGAAATTCGCTCTGCCCCTCGCATGTGAGCACATCCACTCTTCCTAACCTCAGCGAGCCTCAGTTTCCTGTCGGGGTTGTTGAAATGGATTTATCATAAAAATCGTGATTTGCCTGGCACACAACTGGCACTTAATATTTGGCAAACCCTGGCTGTTTTTATCGTGATTTGATTGGTTTTGTGCATGCCTGCGTTTGTCAGATGGTGTTTTCGTGTGTGCGTGTGCTATTTTTGCTTTCTGATTATGAAAAAACAGTATAGACTAATATTTAAAGCGTAGACTTCACACCAGCGTGACCAGAACCCCAGCCTCTGCACATGACAGCTGGGTTATCTTGGGCAAGTGACCTAACCTCTCTGATCTGGTGTGTGTCCTCCTGGAAAGGAGGGAGGATTTAACAAGATGATGCATGTAGAGTGTCTGGCACGTCATGGCACTCAGTGAGTGGCCCTGCTTTTATTTCGTCA